GCCAATCGCGGCTCCCACTGGCCGCGGTTTGCTGCTCCAGGCCAAAGGGGGCTGCGGGAAGCGGCGCAGGCCAAGGGATGTGCTGGCCGCCCTTCCCGCAGCCCCCTTTGGCCTGGAGCAGCAAACCGCGGCCAGTGGGAGCCGCGATCAGCCGAATCTGCGGACGCGGCAGGTAAACAAACCGGCCCGGCCCGCCAGGGGCTTTCCCTGAACAAGTGGCGGACCAGCTTTGAGAACCACTGATCTAGTGGATAAGGGATTGAGAGTCAAGAGGCCTGCGTTGTAATTCTGCCATTATCCTGCTGTGTGCCCTTGGACAAGTCACTTCACCTTTCTGTGCTTCTGTTTCCCCTCCCACTCACTGTCCATCTTGTCTACTTAGACACTGTATGCTCTTCAGGGAAGGGACCACGTCTCACTATGTGTCCATACAGGGCCTAGCACAATGGGACTCCAATCATGGATGCTACTGTAATACAAATAATATTATTATTACAATAATGAAATCAAAGGATCTATGCCTATTTATACCAGCAGAGAATATGGCCATATTTCTCTTCTCCTTGTACCATATTTTAGCTGCATTAGAGCAACACCGTTTCCTTCACCAATGGCACAAACATTCTAGAGATGCCTTGTTTTCTTTTACAGTGATGAAGAGAGGTTTTCTTTGGCAGCTTAACGCTGGTGTTATTTTAATTGCTGCCCTCCTCATTTGGTGTAGCATCATTGCAGAAGGGTCTCTTCCCTCTTGTAATGACCATATGCCCTCACTGCCTTTGTCAGAATGGCCTGTTAGCAACTTGGGAGGCAAAGAAGCCCTTTACTCAGCTTTTTTCTGACATCCCCTCACCAGATGTTAATATATGGCCCCAGTTAGCAGAATTAGAAGTGATGAAACTGTGAAATTAACCCCCGTCCCACCCCTGAGTTAATGGAATGGAACTGGAAGCTCAGCGAAGCAGAAAGCCAGTGTCATCAATTTGCTTTCCAGTTACTCTCTGAGAACACAGCAGCGTCAGGATTTCAGTCATTGCGAACTCTGAAGTGCGGACACAATGGAATAACTGGTTCCTGCCTCGGGTCAATAGCAGCTTCACATTCCCTCCTTATAAGCTGGCAGTGTACAAGGTCAGTAAAAACTCAGTCATCGTTTCTGGGTTGAGGCTGAATATTGCATATAGTTCTGTGTGCTGCTCGCGATTTAATGAGTATAATTCCCTGGGCGTCCAATAGGATAGTAACAGAGACATTCTTGTGTGCATAGCTTTGGTTTCCAAAGCTGACAGCTTTCAGTGACTGACACCATTGATTCTGAAAATAGCTAGATACAAATGAAATGACCTCAAGAACATCTAATGGGTTATCAACAGGGCCTTGTTACTTTTCTGCTCTCTGATGCTACTTGAAGCCACAGACTAAGGCATATAAATATTGTCACATTAAGGAGGTAACTATTTTTTCTCGGGCAGATCCCTTATGGAGTCTCTTCAGTTCTATCTTATTTCAGTGTTGATCGTCTTCTAGTATTATTATTATTATTTATTACCATAGCACTAAGGAGCCCTAGTTAGGGACCAGTACCCCTTTGATAATATCTGTTTTTTCTCATCTGTTTCCATTATTAATGCTATGAAGCCCAGTCTGAACATTCAGTCTCCAACATAACACATAGAGTTCCTCTGATCACAATTAATTTCCTAGATAAGTTTCAGCTATAAAACTTACCCACATGAATACTCTCCCATTAGCTCTGAGCATGGCAAGAATGTGGTTTTTGCTTAGGATAGAAGAGAATAAAAACAAATCAGCAAAATATATGCAACTTTTTCTACGTATTGGTAAAAGCAGTTCCCCACCCACCCACCTTCCCCGCAAAATATAGCAAAATCTTTTGGTCTTGCTTTGCATGAAAATATTTTCCCAACTCTTTTACTCCAGGCTCTTCTCCTGAATGATGAATTGAGAGGAATCAGACACATCCTCTCCGCTTTGTAAATTAAAGGTGTTTAAAGGAGTGTTCATATTTTTATAGGCCAAATCCTTTGTGCTGTTGTACAAGTGTGACTATGCCGCATTCCAGTCCTGATCCTTTCCGTTCAGCCGTGTTCCTCTGACACAGCAAATGTCCGCACAGGCTGCAGCTCCTGATGTCCTAGTTGCTCCTCTCTGCAAAACTCACAAAATATGTGAATCAGTCTTAGGGGATAAAACAAGATGAGGCCTAATTAGGGAAAGGCAAAGCAGCTCAGCCAAATAAGAACTGAAGCGTGAACCTAATTTGAGGTTCGTGAACACTTGGTTAACTTTACTTTTCTCCATGATTTTTCATTTCCAGGAGGTTCTGTCCCTCCTGCAGCAAAAGGGAATGGCAATAAGTGAAGAGAGGATGCTCTTTTGGGCAGCTCCAGCAGGAATGCAGGGAATCTCATGACAGAACCTACTTTTGTGAGGTTACCAGGCCGATTCTGCAGACCCAAGAGGTTCAGAGAAGATTCTGCTAAATATTGAAACCTTTTAGATGCCTCTCAAAACCAGCCTCTCTCTGAACCTTTGGATGTTTCCCCTTCAGTAGGAGTCTTAATAATAATTAATAATTGCTCTATTTTGTATTGTAATAGCACCTAGGAGCCCCAGTTATGGACCAAGAAACCATTGTGCTTGGTGCTGTACAAACATGGAACAAAAAGATGATCCCTGCCCCAAACAGCTTACTGAGACAGTGCTAATGCAACAAACGTGCGAACCCAGAATGCTGGGATTTTTTTCTTTTTCTTCTAAATAACATTCTTAACTAAAGCAAACTATTTTTACCTAATAACAGCTGACAGTAGTGTTGTACTGGCTTTTGTGTTGATTTAGCTCTGCCTTTTATAGACTAAATTTTCGAGTGCTCAGTATCAGCAATAAATACAGCCACAATTCAAAGCGTATGTTGGGGAAATGCAATTAATTTTAAGGATTTAAGTTTTCTAAACCAACCAGCCTCTGCAGAAAATACTAATTAGGCTGTGCACCAATTTGCTTTCTTGTTGGCAGCAGTAGTGGCTAAGAATTGAATAGTTTTGGAGAGGCAGGAAGGGCACAGAGGGAGGACGAGGTTCCCCCAAGCCATCTCTGTATGTCTGATTCTTTGGAGGCTGGCCTGTCACTAAGACTCACTACAGTATCACTCTGCAGACCCAACTCCTTTGGCTTCAAAAGCACTAGGCTAAAGGGGCATTGCCACTCGCTCAGCTAAAAGTGAGAACTGTTAGGCATGTGCAGATCCAGCCTCCACCCGAAGCACACTGGTCAATGGGAGACTTCAAGGGGTTTGGATCAGGCCTTAGAGGGCAGGGATATACAAGCCTCTGCAACATAATTCTCCTGTATCATTCGGTGAAAATAATTTGGTTTCATTAAGGAACTTTATTTTTTTAAAACCTTGTGCCAATATTTGATCATATTGCACCTTTAAAAATTAGAATTAATAATAATAATAATTATAGTAACTTAGTTCTTATATTACAGAGACAAGGTGGGTGAGGTAATATCTTGTATTGGATCAACTTCTATTGGGGAAAGAGACACACTTCTGAGATACACAGAGCTCTTCTTCAGGATAGTGTATCAAACTTCTGGGCCAGAAACAACAGGTAATGACAGTTGCTAGTCCTTTGTCCAGCACAACGTAGAAGGACTGATCTTCTTGATCTTCACTCATATTCTAAAAGGCGTGTGCTAAATAAATTAGATTGTAATGCCTCCAGCATAATTTCTGCTTTCGCTTTTCACAGTGTCTGCCCTGTCTATACTGTTTCTCATTGGTCTGACTGACCCCTTTTCTTAGCTAGTACGTTTGAGAAAAAGCGTACTGCCGCTGCAAACTTTGCTTAATGCAATACCACATTTTACCAGTAGGGGGACATTTTCCCATGTTACCCTGTTGACTCCATGAATCATGCTCATCAGTTAACAACCATATGTTCACGATTAAAGTCCTACCACACCTGCAATCTCAGGGCACCGCCCTGACCATGGAGTGGTTAGGATTGCCTTGCCAGGACTTTACCCTTGATGTGGGTGTTGTCAGTGATTCAACCCATTTGTTGGTGCTGCCAGGAATTAGGCAAACGTACTTTCCTGGAATTAGACGCATTCAGCAGGAAGCCTTGTCTGTACTCCAGGGAGGGCTCAGACGTGTGTAACCTGCTCAGAAACCTGTGAAAGGGCTTTCTTTTGGCATGGAGTGAGGAGGGTGTTAAAACCGTTTTACAGTTAGCTCTAAGTAAAAAAAAGTGCTGCTCATATTACAATGTGTGAGTCTCTTGGAGGGATGAGTTGAGGTCCTGTCTGTGCCGCTTAAACATTAATTATTCCATAGGGCACTTTTAATAAACCTTTTGTTTTGGGGAGCCTGGCCAAAGTTTTCATTCTCCCTGTCGGTGTGTAGTTTGCTTTGTCCCCCCCCCCCACATTAGTTTCCAACCTCTGTAACACTAACCACCGGAGTCAGTGGGGGCTGATCCCTGCGTAACCCTCACCCATGTCATATGACAGAGACCAAAAAAGAATATCTCCTGATTTCACACACCACCCCAGAGTTGGCTGCATTTTGGGTTGTGTACATTCTGTAAAGTTAGTCTGGGTTCTTCAGGAGCAAAGATGCTGTGAAGAGGTAAAAGTGATGCTGCTTGATTACTAATCATTAAATTAAGGCATGTCTGTGGTAATAATGCACAGCTGAGGTATCAAAATACCATGGTACTTGGCTCCTACAATTAATGTAATGACAATGGAATACATCCTTGCTACGTATGGTTTGAGCTTCCCCCACCAGCTATTCTAGCCGATTTAAACATAGGTTTCCCCAAAAGAAATATTTTTGCCCAGTAAAACATTTTCCTTTACTTCATGCCTGATGCTGTGGATCCCAGTGACTGTTCTGCATGATGCTTTTGAATGTATCTGCCTGATGGTTTTTTTACTCCTACAGCATCACATTATTATAATAATCTGTAGTGATGTAATTGACATTCCTGCTTTGTGTGAGTAATGATGTACTAACCCAGGAATTTCCAAAAGATGAATAGGTATTTGATATACTCCAGGTATATTCTGGTGAAACATGCTGCTGTGCTTATGAATGCCCCTGGCCCCACTATACAAAAGCTGAAGGCACCAGCTTGCAGGTGAATGTTCCAGGAACATCCCAGTAGGATGCACCTATTGTGCTAATTTGTAGTGCGTCTGTCCCCTTTTCTTATCTAGTCTGTTTGCAGAGGCATTACACTTGCGCACACATTTTACTTGATGCAATATCACATTACACCAGTAGGGGCATATTGCCCAGTTGGGTCTCTTAATCATGCTCATCGGTTATTTATTAGCATAAGTTAGTCTAATTCTTTTCAGCACCAACAACAAACCTGCTATAGGGACCCAATCAGTGGCAAAGCTCCTTGACCCAGATCCTTAAAGGTATTGAGGTATTGGAAATCAATGGGAGCGAGGCCCCTAAATATCTTTGAGGAGCTGGGCCCTCCTGACTTCAGTGGTGCAGGAGCAGGCCCTCAATGAGGAGACAGAGATCACTATATCCAGGCTGAACACATCTGCTGTGGTGCTTATCATTCCACGTACATCCAAGCAGAAGGGGAGAGCAGCTGCTGCTGACTGTTCAAGACATGTCCAGAAAGAATGCAGCTGCCGTGGTGTTGGATTTACCAGGCACGTGCTAACATTCCATTGATTGTAGCGCACAGCTGCATAGCAGATACATAGGGAGCTCGGCAGTGGGGCAGTGTTAATCTGCATCCAGCTCCTGGCTTCACAGCAGCACTATAGTCAGAGGAAGTGTGCCTAGTGTGTGCTGCGGCTTTTCAGTAACGCACTCCTTTCATCGCAGGTAGTCTTCTGTCCGAGCTTCACAATCAGGGTTTGACCTCTCACAATAACCACCCAAAGAATTCCACATTGTATCAAGAGCAGAAAGTGAACAACAAGGAGGTCTCTGGCCTGCGCTGTTTCACACAAAGTTCCCTTCCGAGCGCTGGAAATGACCCAGCCGTTTCCTGGGTAGGGGTGCAAGGCACACTTTTCTCCCTGGCTTCAGAAAAGCCAGTAAAGAATTTTGCGTGGAAACCTGCTCAAAAGTATCAGGAGTTATTTGTCATTCCTGTATTTTCCGTGCTAGCGCATCTGCTTTGAGAAAAGAATGAATCGAGACATTTATAGGGATAGGCCCAAAGTCTTACACAGAAAGAGAGCCTGACACCCAGTCACCCAGACACTGCATCTGTCGACTCCTTTGTGCATGAGAAATGAGTACTTGCACCCTTCGGAGTGTGCATTACCCACAGTGGGTATGCAATTTTCTTGCAGTATCAATGGGGACATACAGTATACTTCTTTGCAACCACCTTGGAAAACCTGACCTTGGTATTTCATTTCCCATGTCATAAATAACATGCCCACTGCAACAACTCAGATTTCCTGATGTGCTTTTGCTGTCAGCTCCCAATGTCTGGCCATTTGGGATGCAATCTGTGCAACATTGCTCCCTTTGAAGACCCACCAGAGTGAGAGTCCAGCAGCCTTTAGGAGACAGCAGTGAGGTGGTTTTGTTCTTAATGGGTCCTCAAAGAGCTCGTTTCATTTTCAGCTATTGCTTAGCTTGGAAGCCTCCTTCCACAAACTCCTCAAGCCCCATCTATTCCAGGGAGCATCCTGGCTCTGTGGGTTATGCCCCATTCTTCCTTTGCTCTGTATTATAATGAAAAGATTGTGCTCTCGGGGGTAGGGCCTTGTTGTAATGAATCCATGTTTGCAAACAACAGGCATTATTACAGTGTAAATTTCACACATTACAACCTGGTTCCTTCTGCTTACACAACACACATCTCTACCATTTGAGCTAAGGGAGAGCTGCCTTGCTGTTTGTACGATCTCCCATCTCCGTGAGTTCAGCTAAGGGCCACCTCACTCACTCCTACACACTACATTATACGCTATCATGTATTTACAGCTCTACGGCTTATAGATGCGAATAATAATAAAAGCACAATGGGTGGGGAGAGGGTGTCCTGGATCTGAGTTAAATAAGATCTGACTTGCCTTAAATGATTGGCTGTTGTTTTTAACAAACTGTTGGGTTCCTAGATGCCTAGGCATTTGGCGTCACATAAACAAAGAGACAGATTTTCAAAACCTTTAGACCTCAAATATTCACCCATGCTGCCCACTCTCTATGTATATTTACTACATTTGCCCATACAAATTGTTGTAATTGCTTATGCACCAAATATTTTATAACAAACTGGCCTACATTTTTATAAATAAGGTTGGCTCTATCCTGCCATGTACATATGTCAGAGAGGTACTTTGAAGGATGAAATAATAGTGATGAAAAAATAAATAGGAGTACTTGTGGCA